TAAGAGATAATACCATGTTAGTGCTTCTTTCGTGAGTGTTTCACCAAATTTTTTTACCAACACTGACTCAATTTCTTGATTGGTTAAATCAATGCCTTTCACGCCAGTTGTAAATGCGGTTACATGATCTCGTGGGTTGGTTGCTCCATCATACTTTGGAATATCAGGCATTTTAAACTTCTTAGGGATCGGCAAAGGTGCTGCACTTGGCTTCCAGGGTTGTTGTGAATATTTATCAATATCCACTCCTTTAATTACGAGTGGTATGCTAGGTATTTGTCCTATACGATCATTCTGCTCCTTCAGCATCTTCTGCAAAGTTGGTACCAAACTTTGTAAATCAGAATTATTTGGTGTACCTGACCTACCATCACCGGATTCACTGGGAGTCCCTCCGCTTTTTGAATTAGCGAGTCCCCAGCGTGGGTTTTCTATAGTCGCGGTATTGTTTGGAGGAGGAGTTGGTGGCGCAGTTGGCAATCCACTAACAAAAGCTTGAAGGGCGTTGTTGATGTGTTCTGCAATTAATTGTTTCAATGCCTCCTCGGCAATCTACTCGTCCCCATGTTGACCATTCGTATGTGATGTTGATCTTTTAGGTGTTCCCTCTCGTGACTGTCGAGGAGATTCTTGTGGTGAAGGGATTGGTGGAGTTCTGCCCTCCTGTTGGTTCAATTAGTTATTGTCGTTGGCAGTGACATGATTCTTTGTCAGAAAAGTGAATTTGGAAAGTGAAAAGATTATTAGATTCCCGGTAACGGAACCAATTTGTTTAACCAAAAATATGTCTTTGATCAAATTAATTATCCTTTATTCATTCCGTCCTTATTTATTCCTTGCCAACTGTTAGGCCCGATACCATCTCGTGGGTATTTCTTCCCTTGCCTTCTCTCCCCTATTAATTAAGAAAGCCACATGTCGTTGTATCATTGTCCCACGTGCCATGCCATGTCAGCATTCCAATATTTCACGTGTAGCACTTTTTTACCACCAATACACATATCTTTAGAACCGCGTACAAATTTAATTATTATCCGTTTTAAGGGTAAACAAACTAAAAATAAAAAATATAAAAGATTACTAACCATATCAAATCACAAATTAGTTGAAGTCAGGTACATGAATGAATTTTATGCATTTCGTTTTAACGAATTCACTATTCAAAAGAGTCATCATGCAAGATTTATTTTTAAGTTGATCATTAACTTACCATTATCTATTTTCTTTTAACATACTTTGTAAAGCTCAGATGAGCAGAGTGTAATACTTTTATTGCAGATAGACTACTAAAAACTTGTAAAAAGGAGCTATCCTTGAACTTTTGAAGAAGAGCTGATTTTCTGCACTACATGCGTGTGAATTGTACTTCGTCACTAATCACTAGTAGGGGAAAATGTAGGACCTATTCATTTTCATGGGGTCTAGCATTGCATTTCCCACAGCTCAATACTCCAACGAATTCCTGCTTTTGTTGATTTGAATAGTCTTTTATATACCACAAATTGGCTTGTTCTTTTCCTTTTTCCCAAAGAATTTATGTACTTGAAACTACACACATTTAAATTTCATATTATAAGATATGAAAAAATTTGATCAATCAGTTAATTAATTAACTGCTCTTCAATTCCATACTAGTTAGAAGTTAGAACCGGCTACGCAAATCCTCCATATTTATATGTTTAGACTAGTTTTGCAGAACTTATATAAGCCAAAAAATTGTAGTTCAAGAAAAGGCCTATTGACTTCTCAAACGGTAAAGTCCTTTTTTGAATATGGAGAAATAATATTAATAGTATATACTAATATTTTATTATCTTATTTTTACATCATTGTACTGCTATCATTTACTTGGTAGATATTCTGCTAATATCTTAATGTTTGATCACTGGATTATATATGGATTTTGTAGATATGTCACTTTTTGAATTGCCAAATTTTTCCTTCATTTCTGGTCCCATTTCGTCCAAATATAAAAGCAGAGACCCCTTGAAAGCAAGGACGTATGTAGAGTTCTATTTACAGGTTTAATTGAATACATAACTTTCGACGCAGAATAAAAATTTATTAAAATTATAAAAATAGTAAATATGACTCCATAACTTTATAAATATAATAAATTCAATACTAAAAACCTTAAAAGTTGAACCATATAATTTAAATTCTGAATTCGCCTCCGCTCGAAAGCTCAACAAACTTAGATGGGGTTTGGCCAGAAAGTCACTCTATGCCGCTATGGTCTCCCATTACATGTACACCTAATGGACAAACCTTCTTTTCAACATTATTGCTCACACTTCCCCAAAATATAACCTGCTATAAAAATCAATGTTATGTACAAAACAATGACATTATATCACATTTTATATTATCAGATTAAATTATTTATAATATACTCAAGAAATAAACTAAATAACATGATGTAACATATCAGCTTACACTAAAAAAAAAATTATACTCTCAATAGATATAACTAAACCAATAATATAAAGGTCTTAAAATGGGTTGTGAAAATTATAATTAATTTTGATCCAAACTTTATTATTACAAAATAATAAACCCATATTATTTTTGGATACTAATGGGATAAAAATTTAACTAATTGATTTATTTCCAATCTTTTTATTCTCTCATTCCATTTTGTGCAAAAATAAAAAAAAGAACGAAATTAATTATTTGAAATTCTGTTAATTTCCAAAACTAATACAATAATTATTAATGAACTTTTCAAAGATTAGATCATAGCTCAGGCATAAGGGTCCAACTAGTAGTAGAGTGAAACAAATTGAGAAGGTGAGTTTTATGTCAAGTTCAATCTTCTTTTCACAAAACAATATACATGATTTAGTTAGCTTTTGTTTGGAGGGAATGGAGGGAGAAAAGTATTTTATTGATTGAGAAAATATTACTATAATAAGAGAGAGAGAGAGAGAGAGAGAGAGA